TAATAATAATAATAATAATAATAATAATAATAATAATAATAATAATAATAATAATAATAATAATAATAATAATAATAATAATAATAATAATAATAATAATAATAATAATAATAATAATAATAATAATAATAATAATAATAGCACATGAAAATGAGAGAGGGGTGTGGAGGAAAAGAAGAAGACAAAAAGTGAGACAAATTGTAGTAGTATAAATAAATCAATATAAATAATATGGAATGGAAGCAAAAATAAGAACAGTAAGGATGTCAACTAATGTCAACTGATATACTTGTTAGTTTACAGTCATTTCACATTAATGTTGGGGACAACAACTTAACCAATCATAGCATTTTAATAAAAGTGAAATCAATTCGGAAGATATTGGTAAAGTGGCAGTTATAATTAGTTAGAATGATATTTAAGATAAACTAATATTTATGTAAATCCAAGCAATATTACTGATAAGCCGGTGATGACATGAATGTGAGGTGACACGGGAGAAACTGGTAATGACGTTTCTAAGCGACACTTGTTCAACAAAAATTTTAAAAAAAGAATATAATGAGAGTTCAAAGATTGATAGTCAATTTGAGAGACAAAAGAAAAAAGTGGATGATTTCGATAGTACAACCAGGTTAGCAATTAAATGAGAAGCAGTGGGAATATCAACAGATGCAGTGCTGCCAGAGAGTGTAAACAAAAAAAGACAGTACAGATATTGAAGAGGTGGGGTGGATTGAGAGGGTTTATGAGATAGAATTATGGCATTTGGGATACTTGGCTATTTGACTGCTTCCGCAAACTTGGCTGTAATGGCACTCCATGACAAAAGGAATGTTCAAATTTCCCGCGGCAATGCCTTCTCGTGTTTAAGTTCGAGTTGCTACGGGTTTATATATTTTTAATCCAGTATTGAGATTTACCCGAGACGATGGGGAACTTGCCTGGCCTCATAACCATTTGTTACATAAGGTCAAATAACTTTGGGATGAGCCTGCTTGTTGCAGTAATAATACCTGTTGATGCCTATCAATTTGTTTCTATCAGGGTGTCATTTAAGTGGTTCTATAGCTTTAATAGTACCTTTCGATACCTCTTATTTCCTGCACTTCAAGAAAAAATAGCAATTTTCCGCCTCTGCTTGTCCTAATGTAAATAATTTTGAAATATTTAAACTAATATTTCAGTTACTACAGAATTGGACGGTGATCTAATTGAATTATTGGAAAATGTCAGAAAAAGTTGAAGCATATTTGGTGAAAAACAAAAGTGTTTCTCAGGAAGTTATTGCTGATATTTGGCAAAAGCTCGAGCAACTCTACTTCAGAAAGTAAGCATTTGTGTTGTACTGGAATCTGAAACAAGCTGCTAAGAGGTCATAAATTATGTGTTTGATTTGACCTTCTCTGTTTGGAAAACTTAATGATCTTTGTTTTTCTGGTTGAGGAAATGTTATATTTCACATTATTTAGCTACTAAGCAGGAATAGATTTCAACTGCTAGATAGTCCAGTTCATGCATAGATCAAGTTAATAAAGCATTGTTAATTGTGGAATCTGTGAAAGATTTTCATTTTTAAAGTTAATAAGTGGAATAAATTCGTTTTTATCATTATATTTTAGTTCGATTTCTTCAATATTACCATGACATGCCCGTGATTATATTTTCCTTTTAGGTTAACCTTTTTAATTACTTTTGTTCAAGGGTACATATAATTTTTTTAGCAAATAATCTCCTTTTTACTTTGTAATTTTTACGGAGAACTATAAACCATACTAGGTCAAAGTTTTCGTAGCATCTTTGCAAGTTATGCAAAATTGGTTTTCCAGGCTTTGGCATCAATTAACTGTGGAATTGCGAAAAGTAATAAATGATGATGCATTTATCCAAACGATTGATTTGAAAGATTTTTATGATAATTTCATCAATGAATTTGAGCATCGAATAAATCCTCTACAGCTTGTTGAAATTATCATTCCGGTGGCAAAATCAATTTTTGTAAAAAGTAAGGAATTTTATCATTCAGAGCATAAACATGCTTCGATGGGTAATTATTTGCATATTTTATGTAGGATCTACTTTTAAATTGTTGCATTTTTCACTGAGTACCTCGAATGCTGCTATCACTGCGAGAAGCATTCGTAATATGTAGCAAATCTTGTCATTCAAATTTCCTAATGTTGTTTGATAAGGAGCAGCAATATTTAAAGAATTAAATAGCAAACGAAGAGGAGCAAGAATAGTTGTGTTGCTCAGCCTATAATAAATCAGTTGCTGAAATTAATGTAAATTGTTCAAACATTTGATTTTGCTGATTTCAATTTCATACAATCATCGGAATTCGTCACCTTGCTGGACATCACCAATGAATAATATGACTGCATCCTGGGAATTTTTTTTTTATGATGAGCATGATAAGATGCAATAAATAGGTGTAACGAGAGTCTAAAAAAATCAAGGAACTCGGACGAAACCGAAGACTTTCTTTAATGCCTCTACTGTACTATTAATATTATTACAAGTCGTTACGACATCATAATGATTTTATTGGTAAAATCTATTACTGTAAGGTATTGGATGTAATTAATATATTTATTTGTTGCAGATAGAGACGCCGCATTTACGTTTTTAAATAAAATTGAGAGGACAATTTCGAAAGACAAACAAGCGGTAGTGCGTGTGCGAACGGGACAGATTGAATTACGCCTGATGCATAAGGATTCCAAAGATCGTTGCGTCGATATTCAGATCGTGAGGGTATTAATTACTTGTCTTTCCTTCGTCTGTTCTGCTTATTTTCATGTTATTACGAAATATGAATACATAAGTGAAGTAAATCAACTACATTAAAGAAGTGTTTTATTATTGATATATTTATTACCTTCTTCCACTACCAAAATTCTGCTTTCCAGAAAATGATTGAAGAAACTCAAGCACTGCTGGACGAATTGCCTGGAGTTACACTAGTACATGGACCCTTTTATAAGGTTTATATATGTCTTTTTTTGGAAATCTAGATTGCTTTCTATATATATATATATATATATATATATATATATATATATATATATATATATATATATATATATATATATATATATATATA